AGCCATGTGGAAGCTGTGCTGTCCCCAGGTACCAGGGACCCCCTTCAGACCACATCCTCAGACAGGCCAGAAACACGCTTCCATGGTGCTGGTGTTATCTGCTGTTGCCACGGTGCGACTCAGTCCAGGGGTTCTTGGAGTACGGCTCCCGGACCAGCTTTCCATGGGAACTCATTAGAAATGCAGATTCTCTGGGCAACTTGGTGAGACCTCATCTCTACAATAAATCAAAAAATTAGCTGGGCGTGGTAGCGTGCACCCGTAATTCCAGCTACTTGGAAGGCTGAGGTGGAAGGATAGCTGGAGCCCAGCAGGTTGAGGCTGTGGTGGCTGGGAGCAGCCACTGCACTCCAATCTGGGTGACAGAGTGGGGGTCAAAGTCACGGAGAAGGTCCTAGTGAGCTTTGAACATGGAGGGAGACACCGGGCCATGGCCAAGATTCCTTGTGCCACGGGGAAGCATCTCCTAGGAGAATTTCTTTGTACTCACTGCCCATGGATAGAGTCTTCCTGACAAAACGGCTTCAGCTCTGGCCATGTAGACAGTGTCCACTGCATCCAGCCAGAAGGCCCCGTCCAGAGAGGACTCTGGAATTCAACAATTTTGATACCAGGGTCTTGCTGATTTAGAACATGGTCCTGAGTGCCTCAGCTCCAAAAGGGACCCCAAACCCAATCTCTCCTCTGCAGACTGAGTCATTAGTGCTGGGGGTAGGAAGTGGTATGGAGGGGTCTTGAGGCTACTTGGTAACGAGTGCTATTTAAATAAAGCAAAAAGTAGAATTGCAAATGAGCTGCTTTTTAAGCTGTCAAATAAAAGACATCCGTTTGTGCATATGAAGTGATTCCAAGGGCTCTAGCTGTGAAAGCAGATGAAAATGCCAAGGGAAAGAATAGTTCCATTAAAGGGCTGGCTGGACACATCAAGGCAGGCCCCTAAGGACGCCTCTGGCCTGTTTGGCCCAAGGTGAGTTCTATGGACACACATTTTAAGAAAATACAAAATCCTAGGAACAGGTGCCATTTTGTTCACCAGTGTTGCTTTAGCCAGTGTGACCCTAACACTATCTCACAGACAGGACAACAGCCTGTGATCACCTTAACTTCTTCCTTTGGCTTACATCTGGTGCGGAGAGCCTTGGCTAGCTCTCCAAACACCATATTAACAATGTTTCATGGTCTTCTGTTTGCTACTAATGAATGTATCCTTGTATAGTCAGGTCCATGAGAAGGAAATTCTGCAAATGTAGGAGAAAGTACCTGTTGTGAGTGTGCTTGGGGGAGGTCACCAGTGTGGAGGTCGGACCCCACGAGGAGTCAGTTCAGCAGAAACACAGACCCTGGCCCTTCTGCTCCTCTCCTGCGGGAGCCTGCTGCATCGGTTTTGCGTTCACACCTTGAGCATCTTTGATGGTATGGAAACAGAACCTGCTCCCTACCAGCCCTGTGCACCTCCAGATCCTGTCACAAGGCCAGGCCACCCCAGCAAGGAGATGCCTGCTGACTTGGCCCAAAGGGAACCATGTGGTGGGACTGGCTGGAGGCACTGGGAAAGGTTTGAAAGGGATGCTCCTATGCTTGAATGAGCACACCCTGACTCAGCGGGCCTGGGTGAAACTTCGCCTGTACATCTTACAAGCTCCAGGCAGTGCTCACAGCCACACTCAGCCCAGGAGTGAGGTCCGCACACAGGACTTCAGAACCTCCCTGGCAGGCATTGACCTAAGGGTTTGGCTTCCTTATGACCTGGGGCTCCCTGAAAGCAGAGGTGGGTGTCTACACTTTTGCTGTGTTTTGTCCCTGGCTGGCCCCTTGGCACAGGGTGGGGAACGGTGAGTATGAGTTTACTTAAACACAGCTGGCCTCCTGCCAAAAAGGCTTTTAAGTGGACTTGACCCCTAGCAGTTCCCAAGCGGGGTGATGAGACTGGGGGATGGTCACCCTCAGGGTCACACACCCTGAGGCCAAGTTCCCACCCACCCGCACCTGGTGACACCTCTCCCGGACCGGGTCCTGTGATGCTCCCTCCTGCCCCGTTTTTTAAGCCGTTTACTCCAGAAAGCCGATCAGAAAGGAGGAGGAAAGACAGACCCAACCAGAAAGCCCTGCGAGGCGCTCAGGAACGCCGAGGGCTCCTCCGCTGGGGCCTCCGCACTCGGGTCTCCTGGGTCCGCGGTGGGCGTCGCCCCCTCCCCCGCGCAGAGCCCGCTACCCC